GTAGAAGAGTTCTGGACTATTTCAGATTTCCCTGGCAGGAAAGAGGGAGAAAAGAAACCCTGATAGAAGAAAGTGTAATTGCTATTGTATGGTATTATCTCCATATCCCATAGCAACAAATCTTATTATATTTTTTTCTTATTTAAACCATATTCATGAAGGTTTTATTGCTAACTTGATCCAGATGACTGATCAAAGCATAGTTCATTATTGCCACCTTGCTAAAATATTTTTAAAGGCAGTTTTAATATTACACTTTTATAGCTACATATTGCCATTAAGCTATTGAGTCTATTACTAGTCAATCAAGGATTTTCATTTTGTTTCAAGAGCTCCTTGGATAAACTCTTCAGAAATGTCAAAGAGATGGCGTATATGGCACCTTTTCACAGATGGTGTTCATCAGGGATTTTAGTTAATGGATAAAGTTTCAGTTTTCCATGGTTGACTTTTGGTGCTAACAAAAGTATTCCAAAGGCCCCTGCTCTTCTAAAGGCTAGTGGATAGTAAGGAAATGAATCCCATAACACCACCAAACCTTTTATTCTTAATGAGGTAAGTAACCAGGGATGTGGAGTATTTCACCAGGTCCATTTTCCTAAAGAATGGAATATATCTTGAAGAAAACCAATTCAACTTTTCCAACAGCTCCAAAACTACACATTTAACCTGCTCTCCCACTCCCAAGAACAGCAACCAAAAACAAATATACAATAAGAAGGTTAAACTATCACATGAAGAGTTATATACTCTATTGGCTTATCATAGAGGCTAATTATGTACTTTTCCCTTTCATCTGTTCTAAAGTACTCTATACCCATTCTGTTCATTCCTTCATATATCCGTACATTTATTTGACACACTTTTACTTACTACTTATGTACCAGACTCTGTGCAGATGGTGAGTATAAGGGTGATTCAGACATAGTGCTTCCCTCAAGAGAATTTCAGCCTAGTGGTGGAGAAAGCCAAGAAAGCAGGTGATTATGTACCATTCATTGGGATAAGTGTCGTGATGGAAGGGAGCTTGCTTGGAGGTGGGTACGGGGTCCTGGGAAAGGCAGTGGAAGAGCACCTAATCCTTTCTGAGGCAGGCTTAGGGAAGGCATTCCTGGAGGTGATGGTGTTGAAGCTAAAATGGGTATAACTCGGGTGAAAGGAGAGAGGATGAAGAACATGACAGGAACAGAGAATAGCACATCCCAGGGATGGAGACACGGAGCATGAGAGGTGAGGTTGGGAGGTGAACAGCAAGCAGTTGCCCTGCAAGAGCTCTATAAGCTGTGGAGAAGCTGGGGCTCTTTTCCTGAGGGCATTGGGGAGTCTCTGAGGAGCTTGAAGTCAGGAACTAACAGGGGTTGATGTCACTCCAGCTATAGACTGTGTCCAGTGGGAGGCGGGAGAGCGACGGGAAAGCTGTTAGAGGAGTCTTTCACCCTAGAGAAATAAGGTGGCGCCTGGAAGAGGAAGTGGAAAATGAAATCTGATTAGAGATGTCTCAGCAGTCATGACATAATATAGGTAAAACGAATGTAACACCCATTAGCCAAAGGCAAACCTGTCAGGTCAGCAGTTTGATAGACACTGAAAAGGAAATAAAAATGGGCTTCAGCACATTGCTAAATGAGTCCGTGAGTTCCCAAGTGTAGCGCTGTGGAAAGCTCTCCTCTCTCTGACTCCGTATTAGTTTTCCTGGGACTCCAGTTATGACTGCCCAGAAGAATAGCTGTTTAAGTCTCTGTGATGGGCACCTCGTGTATCTGTCAACTACAGGGATATGAACCATTGCACCCAGAGTCACCCGGTCAAGCATGTCTGGAGTTAGTTGAACAAATGCTATCCTTGTTACAAATTTCTGCAGTTTTTTCCATCGATCTTCAGGGAGTGTTATTCATGGCTTCTTACCCTTCCAGACCATTCTTGGTTTGTTAGGAAACCAATATAATTGGGTAAGGATGAGAATAGTAATGTAGATTAAAGAAAAAAATAAGAGAGATCCATTTTCAGTTTGGTGATTAAGTGGGCTGGATTGGTGAAACTTTTTTTAGAGAAGGAAAAAATAGCAACCAGCCTGTAAGAAATCGGTCACAGTTTAGGGGATATGTTACAAGCAAGATAAATAAAAATGGTCTAGAGTATCAGGCCAAACTCTCATTATTCATCTCTGTTTCACACTCTTCTCTTCCAGTCCAGACTAATCAAAAGAAGCCTCTTCCGCTCACAATTGCTATGTGTACATTTCCCCCAGATCTGGTATTCACATGAACAACACGGTTTATTTATATTTCAGCACCAAATTGGAAAGATGACATCATTCATTTACAGTCTTTATCCCATGACATGCCTATTCTCCAACACCTCATTTCAGCAGACACATTTAGGACTGCATATAGCATCTTGTTTAGCTTGTACATTCTTTTATGGGATACAGTTCAAAGGTAGGGAACTTTAGGCTTGTTGCTGGTAAGAAAATAATCCCATAAAATCACAGGAGCTTCCCCAAAGGATGAGGACGTTATGATGTTTACAATAGCAGAGTTATTATTTGTTCATTTAGGCTTCATCGTTCAGTCTTGGGTGAGCTCCTTCCTTCTTAACCATAGCAGGTCTTACAGCTCCCTTCAGGCTCTCCGAGTTCTATTAGAAGAAACAATTTCAGATTTATTAGTTCATGAGGTCAAAAGTACAGACTCCTGACAATACTGGAGTTTTAGGTGTGAACACTGAATTCAGAATCTTTTGTACAAGGGCAGGCTGAATGAGGGGACCCTTAGTACTTGGTCAGCAACAGCTCCGATGACCTGCTCTTTCTCACAAGCTGTAACTTGTCCATTGGGTCTTCTGATGCTTTAAATGGACAAGAGAAGGATGAAAATGCTATCAGCTGCCAAATGTTGCCTGAGATTTTTTATTTAATTGTTAAGTGGATCTTTCTCTCTATTTTTATTGTTTTTATCCATATATATGCATTTTTATGGGGACTTTCAAATATTGTACACATTTCGCAAAATGGAGTACGTTATGAGACATCCCCTGGCAGCTAGAATTGGGATATGAAGTGTTTCCAAAACTTAGCAGAACCAAAGCATCTATAGGAAAGCTGTTTCTACCTGATTAGCTGTTTGCCTCTTCTGCTAGCAGCATGGCAAAGAGAAAAGGCTAGAGATTAAGAATTGGAAGACCCAGGAAATCTCCATGTTCTATGGAAAGAAGGAGACTCGGGGGGCCGAAATCTCCACCTTCATTTTCTAGCTGCAAGTGAGGATAGTAATTATTCCTCCCAGGGAAGTTTTGAGGATAAGTTAGATTGTAGGTGAAACATACTACAAGAATATACTATGTTAGGTCCAGAATTATTATCAGAGTATTATTTATGTTACATGATAAAATTCCAACTGGTTGGAGGCTCTGCCAGCCTTTGATTTCCAGCTCTCTTGAAGTGCTGATGGTTCACTGTCATCTCGGGCCACCAGTGGGATTGTTATGGCAACTCATGAGATGTCCTCAACTCTCGGTGACCTTCCCTGGCTAAAAACAAATGTGCAGTCACCTCTAAGATGGCAGCATCCCTCAGAATTCTGGCCCTTCTTTCTCTCAGTTCCCTCATTGCAGCAGCATGCACAGTGTATTTACATCTACTGGGCCCTGTTAGATTCTGGGGAGAAGCAGGTGAAAGAAGTGGCCTCAAGTCTACCACCCGTTGGACAGACAGATCTGAGGTTACAGAGAGACGATAAGCAGGAGGTGTGCATGTCCTGGCGTCAGGGGTGGGATCAGGAAAAGTTTCCTAGAGAAAAAATCCTGAATTAGCCAGACATAGAAGGTAGAGGTGAGGGAAGGTGGTTGGGGAGGTACTGCAGGCAGAGGAAACAACATGTATAAGAAGGAGAGGTTTCTCAATGTAAACATAGCAAAAATAATAATAATAACAACATTTGATTTTTATGGTAAGCCTATTATGGGCCAGGTCCTGAACAGACACTTGAAGCCCATCGGATCCCTTGCTCCTCACAGCGACCCCAGGGAGCGAGGCACCATTACTCCCATTGTATAGTTCAGGAAATTGAAGCTTACAAATAGTTAACTCTCATAAGATCACGGAACCAGCAAAGAGGTAGAGCAGGACTTGAATCCAGTCTTCTCTCCAAATGTGTATTCTCTGCATTTCCTGGCTTTCTGGGCTGGATATTTTTATCTGCCTTTTTCCATTGTCTTTAGGCATTTTTCTCGATTCTGTGACCCTGTTCAGTCAACTCATTGTTGGTCTGTTTCTTGCCTTGCATAATAAAACAGTACAATTGTATGTCCTGGGAATTTAAACCATGACACCTAGCTGCCTCGTGTGACAAACATAGTGGGACATAAATGACAGTGGTCAGCTCTTCCACATCAGCTCTGCTCCTTTTGCCCAATTTCCCCAAAGAGCACTATCAGTTAAATTGTCCACAGAGAGCCCTTTCCCTAGAAGCCACCAGCGCGACAAACCTTCTCCATCGCTACTTTTGCATTTGGCAGCTTTTGAGTGGATTCCTCTGCTTGTCTCACAAGACCATTACTTGTCTGTAGTTTTGTGTCTCCACCTGGCCCTGTCCCATCTTTTTTGCCCAGGGCTTCTTTCTCTTGCTTGCTCTAGAGCGTAGGATGTGATTGTTGGTAGTTCCGTGATTGCAAGCTTACTCTGGATCTGTGTGAGCGCTTGATAATGTAAAACAGAACACCTTTGGGTATATGTCCATTTTTTCCCCTTTTAAGTCACACGGTGGGGGGGAGTACACTTACATCTTATGTAGGTCCAAGAACATAGTAGCTTCAAGGATGTGACAAAGACTCTTTTACCAAACGGCATGGTGCGTTCTTTATTGAGTTTCCATTTAACTGAAAATGAAAACTTCTGGGTTAGGAACAAAAGGAGCCCTATAGGTGCTGTAATTATACCCTGAATCTCTTTGGCTGGTCTTCCAGCTCTTGATGGAGTCTTCTCTGGTTTTTGTTCTGCGCAGACCCAGAACAGAATGAAGCTGATGGCAGATAACTACGACGAGGACCACCACCATTACCACCACCACCACCACCACCACCACCACCGATCTCCTGGGAGGTCGCAACATTCCAATCACAGGCCCTCTCCCGACCAGGTCAGTTTCATTGCCGCTTACCTCCAGGACCCCTTTTACCCTTTGGATATTTTAAGATAAAATAAATAATCCTCAAGAAATAATAAACAGCATAAAGTGATACGTCCTTTGAACTGAAACTAATAGCTTTGGTATTTATTTCCATCACTCAAGGAGTCTAAATGTTTTCCTTTCTCCTTCCTCTTTAGGGTTTTGTCTGTTCTTGTTTATGTTATGCATTTTCTTTCCTCCCCTCCTTTCTATTTTCATAGATATGAAGTCTATTGCTGGCTCAGTATCTAATAGTGGGTTACTTTGGAATGTCTCTTTCAGAGTTTTAAGAGAAAGCACTTTGTTTCCATGAGCATGGCAACCAGAGAAGCCTTGAGTTTGCTGAGCACTTTCCTAGAAAATTCGTTAGGGATGCAAATTAATGGTGGGGTAAAACAACATGAAGAGAAATCAGTTTTGCTTGCATTTTAGCTGGTGAAGTCAAGGGGTCTGGTTTATTTGATTTGGACCCTATCTTCTCCCTTGACTAAGTGAAGCAAGTGAAAATATGGATTGACAAAAACAAAAATCTCCTGTGGTCCTCAATGATATTTGCATTCACCCACCAAATATAAAAACTATTGACAGTGCATAGGATTAAAACTCCTGAAGATGACCATCATAGAAATTACGAAACTAAATGCAAAGTAGCAGGTTGATATGGTCAATGTTAGCAGTATTTCCTCCTTTATTGTACTATGAGCTTCTTGTGTGTGTGATCCTAGTATAACTTACACAATAAACTTCAGAGGAATGGGACCATAGGTAATGGAATAGAATCATCTGGATAAGTGTGAATGCCTTTGTTATATACTTCTGGGTATGTGAGGGGGCAGGCTTACTGGAATTACCTGTGTAAAGAGAGGTTTAACTGTTTGTTGGAAGAGGAGGTGCTTATATCTCCTAAGATGTTTTTCAGATGGCTCTGTTTCCTATGCACCTCATGTCACTAGTATCCCAAAGGAGAAGTTAAGATTGCAAGTCTCCAAGATGTTTTACCAGGAGTACAACTCCAGGGGGAGCCATTTATATAGAATGCAACATAAGAAATGCTCCCTAGAGCTGTACAGTGAAGTAGCTCCAACCCAGAAGCCCCCTGCCCCTGACACCCAGCTTTGCCCTACCTTGTATTGGGAAGCATTTGCCCTCAGAGACCCCAACACTGCAGGTGTTCATATAGGACATCTAGTTTTCTGAAGCCAAGTACAGAAAGGCACCAGTTCATGTTATTAGCTTTCAAAATGGTTCTTAATTTGGCAATCAGCAAAGTAGAGAGAGATAAATTTCATGTCATTATCTTCATGCCTGTGGTTTTGCTTTGATTTCGCTTTATTTTTTCAAATCTCATCCCTTGCCATTACCACCACCTCCCCTGCACTCACCCATCCTAGTGTACCTGGCATCCTACCAACGAAACATCTTCATTCTTGTTCTTGGTCCCTGCCTTTTGGCACACTGCCCTTTGCTCCTTGACCTTCTCCCAGGAAGCGTAAATGTGAGGTTTTATTGGTGCTAGAAGGCTACCCTGGGCTTTCTCCCAGAGAGATAGGAGCAAAGAGCACTACAGAGGCAGAAAGAAGGATTTGGAGCCCAACTGGGGGAGGGATTCACACAAGGACCTTCTGAGATAACAAACAGGTTTGTTTCCTGACAGAGACACATATGTTAATATGTCCTCCTAGAAACTGGATGCCAGATCAAATTTATCTGCCTGGTGAATGATATTTCTCACAAAAGCTAGTCTCCTGCTACTTTTCCAGAGATCATTATTAAATACAAAATAGAGGTCTTGCTGGCTTGGTTGACCCTCTTATGTTTGTCTACCAACACTAGAGGTTGTCATAGGGCAGAAATCATTGCTCAAAGGCAATGCCCTTCCCAGAAGAGTTAGCATCCCTTGAGAAGTATCTGGCTAAGATGTGTCATCAGGACTTCTGATACACCTTTGTCATTGCTACTCTTAGGAGGTTGGTGATGGTCTTCCACTTTCCCATCCTTCATCTCAGTGACCACTCTAAGTAACCCACTGACATAGAGGCAGATAACCTCATCCTCTTCTACAAGTGAGAAATTGAGGCCCTGGGAGGGGTGGTGGTGGACTGACCTGAGTCCTGCTTCTGGTTATTTGCTCACTCAGCTAATACTTGGAGCACATATTCCATGCCAATTACTACCCTGGCCGTGGGAAAGAACATGATGGACAAGACAGAACCTTTGCTTTCAGGGAGTTTGCTGTCTAGTCTGAAGACAAAAATCCAGGTGTCGTTCAGTTTTTTTCTGGATCATGTCAATCAGAACATGAATTGAAAAGATAGCTATGACTTAACTAGGGGCCCATGACTTAGGAACTCACTCTACAGTGAAGTTCACCTTGAAAGTGACATACCCTTGACCAGAAGGATAACTTTGCATTTTTTTAAAAGATTTTATTTATTTATTTGACACAGAGAGAGACAGCTAGAGAAGGAACACAGCAGGGGGAGTGGGAGAGGGAGAAGCCGGCTCCCACTGGGCAGGGAGCCCGATGCAGGACTCCATCCCAGGACTCCAGGATCATGACCTAAGCTGAAAGCAGACGCTTAATGACTGAGACACCCAGGTGCCCCTAACTTTGAGGTTTTAAACTGGAATCAGCAAAGCTGTAAGTCTTCTTTGCTACACGCTTTCAATTAGAGAAAAAATTGACTAAGAAGACCTGCATGAGTAGGTTGATTCCAGTTAGGAAACGACAAGATCCTCTGGGCTGGTGACCTTTTTGACTAGGAGTCTCAGGTCTAGGATAACCATACCCTCTGTTATAATCACCAACAGCTCATATGCTAATATATGGGTTGTTATAAAACTAAGTTCCAGAACGTCACAGTCATCAGAAGGCTGGGAAGTCTTTCCCAAATGTTTACAAACTCTATATATAATAGTGCAAGCATATATTCTAATATGTATAGAGTGGAGCTACTTCTCAGGAGAAAGTGACAGCCTTATAGTGACAGCTTAAGAGTCTGAACAACGGCCTGATTTGGATGGGATTTAAACTAAATGTCCATAATGTACCAGTGTTAACTGAACTGACTTAAAGGGGAAAGGTCTCTTCCAAGGGATTCCTGATTTCCTTCCAGCCCTGACTTTTCCTATGGCCTGAGGGTTGACCAACAATATCTTCTGGAAGAGGGACTACAAAATGTTGCCATTGTCTCTTGAGCTTTACTAGAAGATCAGAACACATGAAAATAAAGAAATATAAGAAAACTAGTCACTTTGCTACTTTTCCAGAGAAATTCATTTTTCCTTAGGAAATTCAATTTAAGTATTGCTGGGCACTTGCAGAATTAGATTCTTTTTCCATTTCTTCCCTGTCCCTTTCTCCTTCACTATGATTCTGCTTTCTCCTCAGGAGAAACTGAATCCAAGGGTTATAAGTCTAGACAAGCATTTCCCAAAGTAACTTTTGGAACATTAGTCCCAGGAGGAAAGTTTTGAGACAAAGATTCGGTGAGTAAAGAATTTGGGGAAAATGCTGCATATTATAACTCAATCTTAGAGAGTCTTGGTGCAATTAACAGATCAAAGGATCTAAAAAGTCATATAAGAAAGAAAGCTCTCCAATTTTATTTAATCCAGCATTTCCCAGACTTATTTGATCATAGAATCTTTTTTTTTCTTTTCTTTTCTAGTAACATCTGTGCTCTGAGAAATACTGTTCTCAGAGTATCAGGTGAAGAAAGAGACTACCTGGTTTAAAACATAGCTGATCCAGTTTCCAGCAGTTTTTCATCAGAAGGTGGAGATTTGAGGCAATTTCTGCTATGCCCTGTATAGCAGAAAATGAGAATGCCTCTTTCATTCATTTCTTGGGATACCTTTTTAAAGGCTATAATGCCTAAGAATGAGTTATCCCACCAAAAATCCAGTAATCTGAACTAAGGAAATCATTATAAGGCTGAGGACCCAGGAAAGCAAGGATAATCGTAAATGCACAGCCCCTCAGAAATTGAAAATGAATGTGATGAGGGGAAGGGACAATTTGGAGAACACAAAAGAGAAGTCGGTAAGATGTGGCAGTCCAACAGCCTAGACCCTTACCTGAGAAAGGAGCAGGTGTGGTACTTGGAGGCCTACGACCCCATGATGGCCATAGCCATTGAAATGTCCAAGTAGATCATTCAGACAAATCCTAGTAATAATACCTTAGGAAATTTTTCAAACCAAGAGGTGGGCACAGATATTTCCAAAGCGAGACAACAAATGGTTCCCAGGACACAAGCTGCTGATAAGCTTTGAGGAACAACAAAAACCAAAGGATAAATGGAACATGCTGGAACCACACTCGTGATTTTATTTTCAGTGAAGTGACCAAGATTGACTTTAGAAAAGCTAAGTGGAAACTTAACTTCTCCCAAATGCCCTCTGTACCTGTCACTGGTATCTGTTATTTTGTCAAAGGAGCATCTTTCTTTGCCATATCAATTATGTCAAGTCTTTTTACTATTTTCCAGGCATCATATGATTTTTATGGTCCCAGGAAAAATCGTATTTTATTAATCTCCTAATGGCTTCCAGATACGAAGAAAAGCATAGCATCGGCGTGAACTCCACACTCCAGCCAACTCAAAATGCCAGGCCTCATTCGGGCTGCCCTTGGGCATCCAAGACTCACATTCCTGTGCCTGGGTCTTAGGGTGGGCTTTGGGTCTTTAAGGACCTAGATCTCAGTGCTTTTTTGTGCAAAATGTGCTTCCATTTGTTAAAGCATCTGCCACTCTGATTCTAATTCGTCGGGGCCTAAATGGCAAAATCCTAAACATTTTTTTTGCCTGGAAACCTCAGAATATATGGCCACTTTCCAAGCCCAGAATTTGCTTCTCTTCTCTCTCCCTCATTTTTGCTCACTCACAGGAGTTGAGAAGCTCAAGGACTTTTGATTAATTCGAAGACTTTCAGATCCCATTTAAAATTTAAATTCCACACTTTAC